TCAGGTTTCGACACAAGCTCCCTTACTTCAGAAGCACAATGTGCTATCACCTAGTCCCCTCCAGATTAATATACCGCTCTTAAATTAGCCATCGAGGCATGATGGCAGAGGGAATACCGCTCTGGGCAACAGGTTTTGGGTTCATGTCCTCGCGGGGCCATAGATATTTGTAATGGTTCGGCATCCACTTTAAACCATGCAGGTCTAATATGACTATTGGGCGTTGGGCTGACAGCTTTACCTCATAAAAGAAAACACCTCTTGTTTCGTAATCTCCCAGTAGGAAGAGCGGCCTGGTGGCCAAGTGGCTAGCGCTCTGGTCTTTGGTATTTCAGGCTTCAGGTTCGAATCCTGGCGGTGGCATGGATGTTTGTGAGTAGTTCGGAATCCACGTTAAACTGTAGGTCCCGGTCTGTTTAGCCCAAAGTGTGCACAAGATGACCGTAGAGCAACAAACCAAACCAAACCTAGTAGGAAGCCATGGTCCAACGTGGACTGTAATGCCGAGGAGGTAGTTAGTTTTTTAAGGCAGCAATCTGTAAACGAACAATAAAATTCATGGTTTTAGTCATTATTATTTATAAGATATACAGCTTGTAAGGCACACATATAACGCATTAACATACAGCTTGTATCTACAACGCATTAAGATACTATTTAATGACAATCATTATAATGCGCTTACAATACATTGAAATAAGTAATTTTTAATAAAGATTTATATTACTTAAAATGAAGTTAATACTTGTTGTTGTTATAAATAATTGTTGTTTTCATTCTGCAAGCATAACAGTATATTAAAAAAATTAAATGAAATTCACTTTATTTGACCAAAAAACGAATTCTTTCCTACAGCAATATTTTTGTCCTATTTACATAAATTATTTTCAAAACAATAAACAAAATCCAAACTATAAAAATTTAAATTAATTAGATGCTAATTAAGAGTATTTAGTTACTCTTCAAAACTCCGTTTCTGAATATTTTATTTTTACATTAATTAATTTTCACATTACGAAAAATAGAAATAAATAAAATACACACACAAACAGCCTAACTTTCAATCCACTTAAACTTCAAACAAGCAGTCTTTCAACAAGAGCATCCACTTCCCCAAGCTAAGCAATCTGCATATTTCCAGGGCATTTGAAAGTTAATTCATGTCTGAAAGAGATAATTTAATTAAATCTTTACAATCGGAAAAACTTTTTGCTTTAGCCCTTTATTTTTTCCCTGTAAGACTTTAAGTTACCTCACTTTTAAACAGTTGTATTTAAATTTTAAATGAGACCGGGAGCTATTTATTTCTTGAGGCTATTTTTTTCATGTCCTTGAGTATGAGAAAACATAAAAGGTGGAAATTTAGTTGGAAATGATTTAGTGGAGCTATAAGAGTACATTAAAATAACGCATGTGAATATAAAGTTCGTTTGTGTGAAATATAAGCTTTTATAATTAGTTTAAAGTATATATTTTTTATTTCACATATGACTTTCGAAATTTATTCTAAATTAAGTGGATTAAATCGCGCTTTTTTTTTGGTTAAAGATCAAATCAAAATGTTGAGAAACAGTAAAGGAAATTTTTAATCAAATTATGAACCGAGATTTTAAATCTATTAATTTTTTAAGTAAGGGAATTTTTTTGAAATTATATAATTCCTTTGTGAATCACATATGCGTTTACAGTTTTCTTTATTCAATTACTAAAATATTCTTCAAATATTCAACGAAATTTATTTGTTGACCTAAGTTTGATTAATAAAATAATTCGATTGTTTTTTGCTATTAAAGTGTTAAATTTAAAATATAGTGTTTATATCGCTTAATTGTATTATGATACACACAAAGACACACACACACACACATATATGTAGGATTTGTTTGTGTGCTAAGCACCAGATGGAAACACATCACGAACTACGTGTCTTTCACACCAACCTTTTGCCATGTAGTGGCAGTATTGGACCTTGAACTCTGGCCCTGGAAGAAGGGAAAAACCCCGTAGTTGGGCGCGAGAGAGGAACGCTGGGAGATGGCGAAACTGCAACGCGCTGCGTCAAGCAGCGGTAGAAAATGGTTGTGAATGATTATCAATTAATGTAAATATTGATGTAAATATATTCATTAAATATGTGTTGTTGAGAGAAAACCATCGTTTTGTTGATGTATTTGGAAATACACCCCTAGACACCCACTGCAAAAGTGCAGCCACTGTTAGGCTGGTAGAGAAGTCTTAACAAAACTGTAGGTTCGGCCGGATGCATCAGTTGAAACCGATGTAAATCTACATAAATTGGGGTTTCGGCTGGGATGCGTCTTTTGCAAGCGGCCTAAATCTACATATATACATATATAAATTTTTATTCTTCTTCTTCATTGGCGCACTAGCCCCATGGTGGATCAAGGCCGTCTGACTACTGACAGATTTCGAAACATGTGATGTTTTCTTTTTACGGGGTAGGGTTGTCAGCTAAGCGTTCTACAGTTATATTAGTCCGGAACCTACCGTTTAAGATTGATTCTGAAACCTTACAAGCAAGCATCCATGGCACCACTGGGACTCGCATCCGAAACCTGTTCACGTAGTCATCAGACCTCCTATATATACACACACACACACACACATATATATATATATGTATGTATGTATGCTCGCTGCTGCAGAGTTTGAGCCCCGGCAGTGTCATGGATGCTTGCAGTGGTGCGGAATCCAATTTAAATTGTAGGTCTCGGTCTAATATAACTGCAGAGCTTTGTGACAATCCTACCCCTTAAAAAGAACACATCTCATGTACCGGAACCCGCCAGTAGGCCCACAGCCTATCCCACCACGGGGCTTTTGATCTATTGAAGAAAATATTATATTTACCACATCTACCTTGAAATAACGTACGTTGGTTTGGCCCAAGCTCATTAAAATTGTTATAACAATTTTCTTGTTCAAATCATTATGATTGTAACTAAAATTCATTAATTAATTGAATAAAAAATAGAGAAAAACGAAAAGAATAAAAAGGAATATCGAAGAAAAGAAGTGAAATGAAAACATACAAACAATAAAAACAAAAGAAAATGAAATAATTAAAAGGTAGAAACTATATTAGCAGAAGACAAGAAACGAACATGGCCATCTTCCAGTAGAAGTAAAATTAAGGAACAAATTAGTTTCTCCACCGAGCGTGCTACGCACCGAACCATTGAAATGTTCGTCTAATTAAAATCTGCATTAGGTGTGTCGTAGCACGAACCGTCGTAGGAGAAAATTTTGTAGGCATGGAGGGCTCAGGTACACTAATGTCTTCACCAACATCCTGTGGTAGATTTTGATTTATTTTTTACATTAATGGGTTCAAAATTGAAGGAGTTTACTATTTTCGTTGTGTTACGCTTTTACGTTGTTCGTTGTGTTATAAGTTTCATTAATTAAACCATCCTTATCAATAGAAGAAGAAACAGAACTATTAACATTATAGTTATTAATATTAAACTTACTAATAATAGAACAATTAACATTCTCCATTAGATGACTGGCGTCTCTTTTTTTAAATTTGTTTACACTTAGATTTATGCATAACAATGGCGCATAACAACCTGTAGATACCCAAAATACTTACCCCTTCCTTGGTATTTTCGAGAGTATCTTGCAATTAGTTGTTAAGATTAGTAAGACGCTCCGAGGTATTCTTGCGATCAATTGTAGCGTCATATTGAGGGAGGTTGCCAAGTTCCGAATTTGAATATCGAAGACCTTTAATTGTTCATATTCAATAAAGATTTACCGACCTGCCGGAAGGCTTACGGAAGCTGAATGACCAGAAGCGCAGACAGAACCTACTAGTGCTACCTGGATTCCGCCTTATTCGGCTCCACGGATAGGGTGATATGTAATAAGTACAACACCCCCACCGCCTTTGGCTGCCCTCAACTGGGCTTGTTGTACTCCAAGGCATCAGCGTTCACGCTATAGAACGTGTTCGAGAACACCCGCGGAGATGTGTGGACCTCTTGGCCGTCTTAAGTGACGTTACCAGGGAGCACCACGGGGAGGTGGATCCACTTCGCTCCCCTTAACTGTTCATATATAAATTGATATGATATGGAGGATACATACTATCCAATGGATCTGATAAGGTTCGTTCTCCATAGCTTCATTCATTTCCATATTCGCAGAGCTCAAAGTGCAGAGAGCAGAGTGTTTGTCTTTCATCGTCAATCTCAGCAACGACAAATTTCGAAATTGCAACAAATATTCAAAAATCTTGTTTAATGACTACGTTCAAGTTCTTTCATAAACGAATGGAATTTCCCCCACAAAACTTTTATTTTCAAACACTTTTATTTAAAATAAACACTCCTTAATACGTTGGTGCAATTTCGGACGTGTATGGAAATTTAACTCACAATAAAAAAAGCAACAATCTTTTTAAAAAGTTTTTCTAAACTATCCTTCATAAACTTACTCAAAATCTTCAACCAGCTCTTTCTCAATGAAATCACATACCGAGATTTTAAGTTTGGTTAATTTTACTAACTATCTTTAAGTCAAGTAATTTATTTAAAATTATAAAATTCCTTTGTAAATCTAATATATATGTTTACATTTTTGTTATTTATTTATTAAATAGTACTTAAATTATTTAACAATACTATTATCCTAGGTGTGATTAATAGAAGTTGCCAAACTTCTATTAATCACATTAATAAGAACATGTTGTTGTTGTTGTTTCTTATCCCACTTGGCTGGCCAAGCCCACGAGCCCATACGTACTCATGATTGAAGGGGAAGGAAGCAGCTTCTGTTGTGATGGAGCACCCGTAGGTAGAAGCCTGACTTTTGCTCCGTGACGCTCTTACAGTCATAGGAGACCGGGACCTACGGCTTAAAGTGGATTCCGAACCACTATAAACATCCATGGCACCACCGGGATTCGACCTCGAAACCTGTGGTACCGAGCGCCAGAGCGCTAGACACTCGGCCATTCAGGTCCCAAATTTGCCAACGGCACGCGGTGTTCCCAGATGGTCACCCACCCAAGTACTGACCACGCCCAATGATGCTTGACTTCGGTGATCTAACGAGAACCGGTATATTCAGCATGGTACGGCCGTTGGCAAATTAAGAACATTATCACATTAATTAAAAACTTTTTTGTTTCTAAAGAACAAAATTTGAAACTTTTTGATTTTATCTCTTTATGATTATATAATATATATATACAGAGAGAGAGAGATTGCGTGTTATATTCATAAAATTAATGAATTGTAACCGGAAAAAGGGTAATCCGTCTGATGATGATAACGTCTTGATCGCATGACTCATTGTCTCAACCGATGGTGGATTTCTTGTAGTCATAAAAACTTGAACTTTAAGGTATATGAAAGGAATCTCACCTAATTCAAAAGGAAGGACTTACGTGCCTACGAATATATCGTGTCCGTTCATAGGCATGGATATGAAAATTTTATTGGTTCGGCATCAATTTTTGGGTTTTGAACCTCTTTGTTTTTCCTTTTTGAAACTTAATGTTCTAGCTACTATACAATTTTCTAGGTTTATAGAATATTGTTAAAATATTCGAACAAAATGATTAGTAATATTTTATAATATTCGGACAAAACATTAACAATATTCATTTAAATAAATAAAATGATTAATTACAATAGCAAATTGTTTGTATGAAAGTTTTCACGAGGTCATCAAAACACCTGAACAAAATGTTAAATAATGCTGCAAAAATATTTGAACAAAATAATAAACAATGCTTCAAGAATATTCGAAACGAAATATTATATAATGCTTCAAGAACTGCTTAAACAAATTGTTAATAACGCTACAAGAATATTCTAACAAAATTTTAAAAAGGTCACTAGAATATTTTAACAAATGTTTAACAATATTATTAAAGTATTGTAACAAAATGTTAAACAGTGTTACAAAAATATTCGAAAAAAATATTTCATGATATTTAACAAAATATTTACTCTAGAGGAAACTAGAATATTCGAACAAATTTTTACATTATTAGAATATTCAAACAAACTTTAAACAGGTTTACAAAAATATTCGAAACAAAATGATTAACAATTCTTCAAGAATATTTGAATATCATCTTTAAAAATCTTAGAACATCTGAATAAAATGTGTATTTGCACTAATCAAATATTTGAACAAAAATTTTAGCGATGCTATTAATAATTAAGTTGATACATTTGAAACACACATTCATCTTCAATTTTTAAAATCAGTTATCAACGACAAAGCATATCCAGCTCGGAAATCACGCTAGATTTATTTTAAACCCTAATCCATTTGATTAGGTCTCGCTTCTTACAACAACTCATTCTTTGCACCAAAGTTCCCGCTCAATTCAATTAGGCCACCTTCCCATCGCATAAGTTAATTTGACAAGAAATTACTCTTAAACCTTCATTATCCGCCGTCGACTACCCTCTCTCTTTCGAGTACTATTCATCAGTTCCGGTGTAAAGTTAAGACTAGTTAACTTCGCCACGAACGATAACATTGATTTTGCTGCGGAAGGCGATGGAAATGCAAACAGGGGCGCACCGACTTGAAAGCTCCCGTCGCAGCTTGAATATGCGAATTAATCAAGACTAATTGATGGGGCTTGTGCACAGGGGGAAGGGGTCTCTCTTCGGGGAAGGGGGATGTTTGTTCCACGTGCCCAGAGGAATGCCCGACTCTTTGTGAATAGTAAATGAACGGCAAGGCGTTTGGGCGACGAGGTGAGATAGGTTGCTTCGGAGATGATTCAAATGCAATTCATTAGGAGAATTGGTGAAAACCGCTTTCATTATGCATTCTGGAAAATTTTGTACATCAGTGTGCATTGAGCACTCGTTATTAATTAATTTGATTTTAAAATAGAGATAAAAAATGTGTGCTCATTCGAACTCCAAGAACTAGAGCTGCCTAGTAGGCAGTACTAGGTGTTCGAAACAAGATTTCTGTACTCTAAATGTGGTAATGTAAGCCTAAACGAGAACTCTTTGTAATAGAGACTTGTGGGTACTGTTTATTCCATTTTCCCCTTTTGTAACAATCAGATTGAAATTCATTTTTATTTCGTCAATTTACAATGGAAATATCCCCATTTTCTTTTCAGTCAATTACTTAAATTTCTCAAAAAATATTTTTTGTTCACAAATTTAAATTGTTTTATATATGTTTTTAGTCTCTGATCATTTAAATATTTGAAACTAAAAATGTTCTACAAATCTAACTGGTTTCTTATCCCACTTTGTCGAGAGCAACATCTAGATCAAGTCCACGAAGCCGCGTGTTCTCATAGAAATAGGGAAGGGGACATTTATTCTAGGGCAAACTAGAATATTCGAACAAATGTTTAAGAATATTATCAGAGATACAAAATATTTTAAACAGTGTTACAAAAATATCGGAACAAAATATTTAACAATTCTACTAGAATGTTCGAACAAATATTTAGCAATATTATTAGAATATTCGAAAAAAATGATTAACAATTCTACAAAAATTTTCGAGCAACACTTATAAAAAATATTAGAATATCTGAATAAGATGTGTATTTACACCAATCAAATACTTGAACAAACATTTTAGCAATACTATTAAAAATTAAGTTAATACATTTGATACATGAATCAGACGTTTAAATCACTTATCAACAACAAAGCCCATCAAACTCGTAAATCACACTAGATTTATTTAAAGCCCTAATCAGTTTGATGAGGTCTCGCTTCTTTCCTCCAACCAAAGTTCCTGCTCAATTCAATGAAGCTACCTTCCCGTCGCATAAGTTCATTTGACAAGAAATTACACTTAAACCTTCATCATCCCCGTCGACGACTCTCTCTCTTTCGAGCATTAGTCATCAGTTCCGGGGTAAAGTTAGGACTAGTTAACTTCGCCCCGACCGATAACATTGATTTTACTGCGGAAGGCGATGGAAATGCAAACAGGGGCGCACCGACTTGAAAGCCCCCGTCGCAGGTTGAAGATGCGAATTAATCAGACTAATTGATGGGGCTTGTGCACAGAGTCTCTCTTCGGGAAAGGGGGGCGTTTGTTCCACGTGCCCAGAGGAATGCGCTGACTCTTTGTGAATATTGAATGAACGGCAAGGCGTTTGGGCGACGAGGTGAGATAGGTTGCATCGGAGATGATTAAAATGCAAGCCATCAGAAGAATGGGAGAAAACCCCCTTCATTATGCATTCTGGGAAATTCTGTAGATGAGTGTGCAGTGAGCACTCGTTATTAATTAATTCGATTTAATTAGTAAATTCGTTTTAAAACAGCTGTAAGAAATGTGCGCTGGTTCGAACTTCAACGATTGGAGTTGTGTTATGGATAGTACCAGATGTCCGAAACAGGTTTGCCGTATTCTAAATGGGGTAATGGAAGCCTAAACGAGAACTAATAGGGATATGTTGGTACTGTTGATTCCCCTTTTTTCTCTTTTATAACATTCAGAATCAAATACATTTTTATCTCGTCAATCTTCTATAGAAATATCACAATTTCCTTTCCATTACAATAACCTCCATTTCCCAGAAGTACTTTCTGTTGTATACAAATTTAAATTGTTTGTATATGTTTGTAGTCTCTGGTCATTTAAATAATTGACAGATATTTCAGATTAAAAAAATTCTACAAATCTTGTTTCTTATTCCACTTAATCGCCAGCAACTTCTAGACCAAATCGAAGAGCACGTGTGGTCTCACGGAAAGACAGCGCGCGTGTGGGGGCAGCTTCTGTTGTGATGGAACAACCGTATGTAGATGTCTGACTTGGCTCCTTGGCTCTGAAGAAGGAGAGCAGTGCTTTCAGAAGGACTTTAGCGGAACTAATGCGCATTTGCGTATCGCATGGGAGGAAAACCTGAAAAATTCTCATCAGGTAGTCCGACGAACGAGGCAAGATGCTGAATATCCCAAATGCTGCCGCGCTCGTCGTTTTTTTTTCTTTGTTTTTTTATGAAACAGTGTCTACAACAAAGCCTCCAGCAGATGGAACCTGAGCTCTAATACACACCAGGGGCGTTTATGTTGAGTTACGAATCGGTGGTATACAGTGGTTTAAAATATAAATTATTTATTTCGAAATGCAAATTTTTTGCATTAACACATTAATGCAAAGTTGCATTAATGCATTGAACACATTAATGCAACACATTAACACATTAATTAAAATTAATGCAAAGTTGGTGTTAAACATACATTGTACAATGCTGTAAAGAAAAAATCTTCCCATTTCAAAATAATCAGACAGAATTCTCATAAAAACACAGCTTTCGAATGAATGTATTTTTACTGAATGTTAATTAAGTTTAATATATTTAATTTATCATTTTATAATCAGCAAAAAAGTTGACAATAGAAAAGCTCTAAAAAGTTTAAACTATTTTCAGATTGCACTTCATTGTGCTAATTACGCTCAACCTTTATCCTCATTTTTAATATTCAAATGAAGTTCCGGATCCTGGCTAGAATCCATTTCAAGTATGCAATACCTTACGAAGTGCAACAAAGCCAAATAGCCATTAAAGCCAACATGGCTCATAAAAATGTATGCGCAGTCTTCAAGTCATCGACAACAGATGTCCTCATCTCCAAAGATGATTTTGAAAATTCGAGTCTGGTGAAATGGTCCCTGAAAGCAGCTTCACAGAGCTTAAAGCTTAATGAAATGTGGAGGACAGCCGAATAGAGTTGAGTAGGATAGGTTCTCAGCCATTACGGTGAAGGAAGAAGTCTTGCTCAGATGGTTCTATCAAGAGTCATTTGAGCAAGCTTGTTTATGCTTACAAGAGCTGAAACAACAGCAGACTGGATTCGCGTTGCTTCTTCATTGACAGATGCGAGCCGATTTTCATTTCATACCCTTTTGTAGATACTTCTTTTAAAGTGAAAATTAAACAATATAATTTTTACTTGTTCAGGTTTTTATCATATATAAATATGATGTTGTTTTGGTACGATATTGTATAGATGACTTGTAGTCTCGCCCTATACTATACCTATAATGGTTTCAAGAAGAAACCACTTTCAGGTTCTTGGGAACACTTTACTTTTATTTACGAATATATATTTTTTTCTTCTAATGCA